AGATGCCAACTTGCTGACGAAGTGAGTAACACTAGTAAGATCGCAGATCGGGGAGCTTGTGTGTTAGAATGAATGGCACACGTACTACTTACTGAGGCGACAGGAGCAGTTAGAGAGTGGACGGCGGACCTGGCACTATGAATTAGGACAGATGTCACCAAGTCTGAATAGCTTTCCACTCCTAAAAGCAAATGTAGCCCATCCCCGCGAAATGCGATAGACTGGTGTGTGGGTTGCTTTCGGCCTACTCTATTAAGGGAATTCGGCATAAGTGATTGTGACCTGATATGTCATGAAACGTTACATTCCTTAGTATTCGGTCGACGGAAGATGTCGGATGCATGTACGCTGTCTGTCTCCGTAGCATAAATTGATCCTTTTCTTCATCTAAAAAAGATTAAAGGTTGGACTGTCTCGGGATTTATGCTTAGCAAAGATTTCACCAAGCACGACGAGCTCACATGAATGATGTCAAGGGTATTTAACGTAACGCATGTTCAAATATAACCCAGGTTAGTGATTTGGCTGCAACCAGAGATACGATTAACTGAATCGGCACTAACTACGTGGGAAGGCCCTGCTTCATGTTGCGAACCTGCTGGACAGTCAGTTATCAGGGGTGCACCTCGAGTTGATGGCCCCTGGACCGTGAGGTGGCCTGCACGCCTGGCGAGGGAAAATCGATCGTGCTCGATGGATGACGCAGCTGGCAGATTTCGCTAGATGGCCGAAAGCTGAATGCGAGTAGATGCGCCCCTAGATGATCTTGGCAGCAGGTAGTCAGTGGCGTGTGCGCAATTGTTGCGTGTGTACGTCACTGGACAATGGCAGTGTCCCTGAGATCGGTCAGCCATTAGATGCGCTGGAAAAACGCGCGGGCTAGATCGGGGTTTGTCTGGCGTTAATTGGAAACGTGCATTCAGGGAATGTCAAAATTGGGTCCGTCTTCCAGACATACGTAGACTTTTTCCTCGCTAGATATCCACATTTCCATCAAAAATGTCAGTTGCCGATGTCAGAAATGCCAGAGACGGTTATGAAAACAAAAGGCTGTGTTTTTACTGAAAACACGGTTATATCGCCGTCAGTCACAATTTGGACATATCTACTAGACAGGTCATGAGACGAAGTGCGAATATTTGCAGGAGTGCAGAGGTTAGTAATAAGAATATGCGTGTGATATCAGGGGAATTTCAGTCTATGCATATTTCACCCTCTCTTTCTTCACAACTTCAATTTGCTGCTGTCTTTGTTCGAAAATGAACTTGAAACTTCAAGTGAACATTGCTTTCGTTTTAGTGATCGAGTGATTTTCCTCACAGCAAAATAACACTGTTAAGGAAGCTCACGTTCTGAAAGTGAAATCGGTTCGGTCTCCGAAGTTGCTCCTAAGAGAAACCGCAGTGTTCTTCATACTTACTTGATTCCCTACGGCAAAGAAGGCATAATTAATCAGTCATTGTGAATATCTGTATTTTGCAGTCAGCAGACTTTTTACATTGAAAGTGAAACAAATGCCGTGGGATTGTGATTAACATCGAAACAGCCAGTCCCAAGTTAAATTAGTGCGGATTCGATTCGCTGAAAGATCACATGCAATGCGAATCTCTAAGCTACGTAATGGGTTTCATTTTTTCAACTGTCCGTGTTGATGTATTCGCATAAATTAGATATGCATAATCCAGGACAGTAAACCAAGTGGGATTTTAGAATTAATTCGACGCGCTCCGTAAGGAGTGGATTTACCTACGTTAAAATTCGTCGTAGCGGAATGTACATTAAGTAAACAAACTGTTTTTATTAACATCCTACACTGTTTTAATATAGACACAGTCTGAGCGCCTGTCTGGCATTAATTGCAAAGGGGCAATCAGCAAATTTCAACATTATGTCGACTTCAGCCTGCCAGGAAAACCGCATTTCTAACAAAAATTCCCGTTTCCAAAGTCATAGAATCGCCAAAGTCTATTTTTAGAACAAAGGACGAGGTTAGCATTTAAAAAACAGCTAGATCGTAACAGTCACAATTTAAGCACATCTTCTAGTGAAATCATCAAACGAATCACGAAAAGCAGCAAGGAATGCGGGCGTTATCATTGTAAACATACGCACGATAGTATAGGAATTGCAGCTTATAAATATTTCAACCGCTGTACGTCCACAAATTCAATATGTTGCTGTCCTTGATCAAAAAGGTATCGGGAAACTCAAGTGAACATTATTCTCGCTCCAGCGATCGAGTGATTCTCCTCACATCAAAATGACACTGCTAAGAATGCTTTACTTCTGAAAAATAATTGGTTTCATTCTCCGAAGTTGCTACTAAGCCTAACTGGTGGGATTCGAACCCCCAACAGCAAAGAGAGGCTTTAGTACGGCCAACGCTCTAGCCACCTAAGATACGAGGCCCAACCGGACGACGCGAGTTTAATCATATCTTAATCAATTTTACTCGTTCGATCTACTGCAAAGTCTGGTATCCACCAAATCTGATAAAGTAAGCTGACATTCTAAGCAGGATTTTCTAATTTATATATATAGAATCCACCAGATGGCTAAGGGTTTCACGAAATTCATAGCTCTTATAGCAGATACGATTAATGTAGCGTCGTCCGGTGGAGCCTTTTAGGTCAGTTGGCTAGAGCGTTGGCTGTACTAAGGCTACATAAAGCTGAAGCGGGTTCATACACCACAGAGGCGCCGAGTATTTCATATGCGTATCAAAACAACTCGTTTGTGTACTTGCGTTTAATAAGGCAATATCGACAACAGTCGGTCAAGCTGCAATAGGCCCGCCTTGCGAGTCAAAATAATGAGATATGGATTCTTGACATAGTAAAACGCTTGCTGTCGTGCGTTTTAGTCACACCGTGGCACCGAGGTTTGACAATTCAATCAACGTGGATGCGTGAGACTTTAGTAAATATATTCTGTAAACTGAAGGGGCTCTCGGTTCTGACGGATAGGCAATTTGAGAATATGCAGTGGTTGCACCTTCAGTTGTGGCAGATCACTGATATGTCAAATAAATTCTCCGCGAGCTGGTTGCAAACCTGTAGATATGAATTTTCTCCTACGAATGTTGCACTCACTGCATTAGGGCTCCTGTCCTCATTATTCGCAAACCAAGTGACAGACGCGAGCAGATCACGCCACTCTGGGTGCAACGATTTGTACTTAAATCTGCTGATCCGATGCGGAGGGAGGGAGGGAGCTGGCTGGGTGGGTTTTCGTATGTGCAGATAGCAGGCGCGCTCGTGTTGCGTGCTATCAGGGTGGGACATCGATTCCCGTAAAAAAAAGAGGATGACGCACTCTCTACTCGATCTTCCTTTCAGTCTCACAGCGACTGCCGCCCTGAATTACGCTAGCCCTCCGCCTTAGCTAAATTTAGCCAGAGGTGATCCAGATGGTTGTGTGGAATCGCTGTCTTTCAACTGCTGTTTGTTACATTAAGTCAGCTGTAGAGCGTGCTGTCGATCAGAGTTAGGCAAACACCGGGCAAAACGCACTGCTAGAAAACTGCACAAACTTCTATGAAGTACAGGCCTCTGGTTTAAACTTAAAATCATAAAGGATCCTGCCTCCGACGAAATCGCCGACAGACTGGCAGGGTGAGTCCGCTCACTCTGGCAGCCTGGAATGTTCGTTCCCTTTTAGACAGTCCGAGGAGCAACCGACCGGAACGGAGGACGGCGCTAGTGGCACGAGAACTGGCGCGCTACAAGGTGGACATCGCCTCACTCAGCGAGACCCGATTCTCCGAACAAGGCCAACTGGAGGAGGTGGGTGCCGGCTACACCTTCTTCTGGAGTGGTCGACCCAGGACAGAGCGACGAGACGCGGGTGTCGTCCTCGCCATCCGGAACGACATCGTGGGACGACTGCCCAGTCTGCCGCAGGGAATCTACGATCGCCTGATGAGCCTCCGTCTGTCTCTCAGGCAGGCGTGGGGTCAAATTCGCCACCATCGTCAGCGCCTACGCTCCGCCGATGAGCTGCCCCGACGCCACCGCAAGAGACAAATTCTACGAGGACCTACACGCCCTCTTGGCGACTGTTTCGAAGGCGGACAAGCTGATTGTCTTTGGCGACTTCAACACCCACGTCGGCACAGACCATACTGCCTAGAGAGGAGTGCTGGGTCGCCACGGTCTCCGCGGCTCCAACGACAATGGTCTGCTGCTGCTCCGCACCTGCGCAGAACACTGCCTCATCCTGACGAAGACCTTTTTCTGTCTGTCGGAGCGAGAGAAGGCCACCTGGAGGCATCCTCGGTCCCTTCGGTGGCACCTGCTAGACTACGTCCTCGTCCGGAGGCGAGATCAACGGGAAGTGTTGGTGACGATGGCGATCGCGGGTGCTGACGGGTGGACCGACAATCGCCTCGTCATATCGAAGATGCGTATTAGCCTACAGCCTCGCAGGAGACCACAAGGTAAGCGACCCCCAGAAAAGCTGAATATTGCCTTGTTGTCTTTGCCCGCCCACAATCTTCATTTCAGAAATGAGCAAGCTCAACGGCCAGACAAAATTCCCATCGCCGATGCAGCCGACGACGAGGCCACCATTGCAGAGAACGCCTCCGTGGAGAACCGTTCGTGTCAACTACGAAACACGGTCCAGGCGACGACGCTCGCCGTCCTCGGTCTCGCTCCCCGTCAACGCCAGGACTGGTTCGACGACAACGACGCCGCCATCAGAAATCTGCTTGCTGAGAAAAACCGCCTACACAAAGCCTACGTAGACCACCCCACTGATGACAACAAAGCTACTTTCTCCCGCAGACGCCGCCAGCTTCAGCAACGACTGCGCGAGATGCAGGACGCCTGGACTGCTCGCAAATCTGATGAGACTCAAGGCTACGGGGACCGCAACGAATGGAAGAACGTCTTCTCTGCGATCAAAGCTGTCTACGGTCCGCCGACGATGGGCACTGCTCCTCTCCTCAGCGCCGACGACAGCACTCTCCTGACTGAATAGACGCCAATCCTACAGCGATGGGCGAGCATATCCGAGGCATCCTCAACCGCCCCTCCGTCATCTCCGACGCGGCCATCGAGCGTTTATCGCAAGTGGAGACCAACATCCTCGTCGACCTCCCGCCATCTCTCCAGGAAACGATCAGGGCCGTGCAGCAACTCTCCAGCGGGAAAGCACCCGGATCGGACGCAATCCCTGCTGAGGTCTTCAAGCACGGAGGTCCCCAACTCATGGACCACCTGACTGCGATCTTCCAGGAGCTGTGGCGTAAAGATGAAGTCCCGCAAGATTTCAAGGACGCAACTATAGTGCACCTTTACAAGCGAAAAGGGAATCGCCAAATCTGCGACAATCGCGCGTATCCACAACCACCGTGCACGAAATTCTCATCGCCGACGACTACGCCCTGAACACCACATCGGAAGTGGAGATGCCACGGAGCTGGGACCTGTTCTCTGCCGCCTGCGAGAACTTTGGGCTGGTCATTAACACGCAGAAGACGGTGGTGATGCATCAACCGGCACCCAATTCAGCCACAGCCCACAACGCGTCGCCGCAAATCAGCGTGAATGGAACCCAATTGCAAGTGGTGGAGAACTTTCCGTACTTGGACAGCACCCTTTCCCGCAACACCATGATAGATTACGAAGTCGCCAACAGGATCTCGAAAGCCAGTCAAGCCTTCGGTCACCTCAAAAGCACAGTTTGGAATCGTCACGGCATCCATCTGAGTACGAGGCTAAAGATGCACAAGGCCATCATCCTGCCGACGCTTCTATATGGAGCGGAGACCTGGACGGTGTACACGAGGCAGGCACGCCTACTGAACCACTTCCACCTCAGTAGTCTCCGTCGCATCCTGTGGCTGCACTGGCAGGATCGAATCTCCGACACAGATATGCTGGAACGATCGGAAATGCTCAGCATTTACTCCATGCTGAGACAAATGCGGCTGCGCTGGAGCGGCCATCTGGTGCGCATGTACGACGAGCGACTACCCAAACGACTCTTCTACGGAGACGTTGCGATGGGTTCTCGCCGCCAAGGTGGTCAAATTCTTCGATACAACGACACTCTGAAGTCCACCCTGAAGCGCCTGCAAATCAACCCGACCAACTGGGAAGAGCTCACCCTCTACCGACCGACATGGAGGAGGACTCTGAAGACAGCCGCTGCGATCTATGAGGCCAACCGAATCGCCGCTGCCAAAGTGAAACGAGAGCACGCAAATCACAGCCACCCCACGTCCGCAACGCCAACGCACAACGGCTTCCAACGTGTCCCCGGTGTCAACGGACATTCCGGGCAGAAATTGAACTCATTGTACACCTAGAGATCAACTGCGAATCTCGGACCGCACCAACCACCGTCCCTCCGCCCGCCTATTCCTCGTCCTCTCCGCCGCAAACCAACTCTGAAAATTCTTCTGGACC